AAAAACTTGTTCCCTACACAACAATATTTTTCATTTGATTCTTTGTATGAAAACTTTACATTTTGGTCCCTACATGAAGAAACATTTACAATTGATCCTTGTCATTTTTCCAGTGTTATGACCAACAAAAATTAGTTGTAGAAGTCACATTTGAAAGATATATATCGAAAATTAAGCTACGGCAAGAGCACCATTGATTATGGGAAATTTTACGGGAAAGGCAGAACATGCGAGGTTGCTACTGATTATGTTGGTGATCCATGACACATTTCGTTTAAGCTCAACGACTAGTTATATGTTTAATTTGGGACAAGGAATGGTGTTTTGGTGCAATAAAAGACAATCCGTTGAATCTCAGTCAAGTATAGAAGTAGAGTATAGTGAAGCAACTAAGCAAACGAGTATTTGTGCAATCGTACAACTATGCAAGGATTTATATCAACCAACGGATTACACAGTACAATTTACTGTGATAACCAGTCCGCAATCTGTTTAGCTGAAAATCTTTTAAGAACTAAGAACCAAGCATGTGGAAAAGCATTATCGTTTAATTAGATCAAGGTGATAGAGAAATGAAGAATATTAAAACTGAAGATCAAGTAATATATATATATATATATAGACACGCAAGCGCGAATGGACTTGTAATCTGAAATTTGGAGAATGCAGAAAATAACTGGCAGTGACCATGAGATCCACAACAAGAGAAAATAATCGTTGTATGAGTCCTGAAATAACAATGAGGAAAAAACAGCGTCTTGACTTCAGAACTATATAGTTGTAGTTCTAATTTTTAAAAGTTGGAGGAAAATACTATATAACCTAATCAGACTAGAATGTAGAGCTATTGCCAGTGTTATATACTTTGATTTGGCTCGTTACAAGAAAGTTATGACTTATGACACAATTGGTCCGACTTTTGCAATCAATGTAGCTGCAATTTAACACACATGAAATCCATTTGCTTTTCAGGATGATTAAAAGTACCGATAAATATTTTGAGTGATTTGTTTACAATATAACTTAAAGATTGGCCTAAAAATATAATTTATTTCAAGAGGACGATTCCGTCACTGATCTGGTAGGAGAAGAAAACATAGGTTTTGGAGGAATTTCCAAGGAATTCATGCTGCCTTCCAACATATCTATCACTTTACTCATTGTAGGTCTATCATTCGGAAACGTTTGAATGCACCATAAACCCACTATGGTCATTCTCTTTGCAATCTCATTTTCTTCTACGGTCATCACCTCATCCGGTCTTAAATCATTATCCAACTCAAGCCTTCTGTATACCAAATATGGGAAGTATAACTCACTTGTGTGACTGGCTTCAGCATTAATGTTTTTCCTCCCTCCTACCATTTCTAGCAACATCATTCCATAGCTATAAACATCAGACTTGTGTGAAACTCCACCAAAATGTCTATTGCACATTTCTGGAGCAACATACCCCATTGTCCCTCTTGTATTTGACATAGAAATAATGCTCTCTTTTCTAGGACACAGCTTTGCTAGCCCAAAATCTGATATTTTGGGACAAAAATTCTCATCCAAAAGAATATTATGTGGTTTTATGTCAAAATGCAAAATCCGAGTGTTGCATCCCCTGTGCAAGTACTCCAACCCACGAGCAATCCCTATTGAGATTTGATACAAATTCTCCCAACTCAAAGATGCAATGGTTTCTGGCCCTCCTTTGTAGATAAACTTTTCTAGGGAACCATTAGCCATAAACTCATAGATGAGAGCTTTCTTGCGGCCTTCCAAACAAAATCCAAGAAGTGTAACAATATTAACATGAGAGGTTCTACTTATGCTAGCAACCTCATTAATAAAGTCTTCACCACTTCCTTTGGATGCATTCAATATCTTTATAGCCACAGGACAACCAGTGGGTAGCTTTCCTTCATATACTGCACCAAAACCACCTTGACCAAGTTTAACTTTGAAGGAATTGGTCATTTTCTTTACTTCTGAAAATTTGTATCTTTTCTGTGATACAGCTCCATGAATTTTTAAGAATGCTTCAATATCTTGATTACTCTTTGTGGACCTAAAAAATTTGAATGGTCGGGCTAATGACTTATATCTAAAACAACAAATTATGATGCATATCATGAATCCTCCCATTACTGCACTTGCAACACCTATTAACAAATATAATAGGATAATTAGGAGTTAAGAAACAATACGTATGTGTCATTTTATGTTGTAACATTAATTTTTATTAGTTTAATATGTGCTCAGGAGTCTAAACTTAAATATTATTTTGATTCATCAAAAGAGAAAAAAAAAGAAGAAAAAAAAAACAGACAAGGTCTAAGAAGTCCTGTCTAAAGATTCTTTCAATGCAAATGGATTCCAAATTGATCACAAATGTAATTCACAAAGAAGTGAAATAGGTCATATAAAAGGACAATTGATCTATTACCTATAATGATTTTCCGTATCAGATTACCTGCGAGAGCAAAGAGAAGTTGTTAAAATGTGGTGACTCGAGTCTTTTATAAATATTTACATTGGAGGAAGTCATGAAGATATCCTATTCGATAGTAATCACTTAACATGGAAAAGGGAATGACAAATATTGCATACATAATCACGCTTCAACTATCGTATCTCTTTCCACGTTTCAGATTAATCACATAACATTTATGTTATGCACCGGGTTACCACACACATACACATATCTTCATGATGATAAGATATTATCTATTTTGAGAAAAAGAGTTGCTCTTTTACCTACCTGGATCAAAGTTAACATGATAAAACTTTAATAATAGATGTTTGAAACATGATAAAACTGACCCTTATGTGTTTGTCCAATGTTACCATTATGAAATCTTAATCTACATCGGAATAAAGAATAATAATAGATGTTTGAAACTTGATAAAACTGACCCTTAAGTGTTTCAACTGGTTTTGATATTGGCAATGGTGACAAAGAAGAACTTGGCGATGAATATGCAGGTACCCATGTTCGTGGTGGTGATAATGTTGGTTGCGGTGATAGCATTGGTGGTGATTTTGATGGTGGAGATGATAATGGTCGTGGTGTTATATAGAGTGGAGTTCGCAATGGTGGTGGTGGCGATGATAATGGCTGCGGTGTTACATAGAATGGAGTTGGAGAAGTTGAATTGCAACGACCTGTGCTGCAAGCTGCATACCAGTTTTCATTCAAAATTATTAATACATTCTTATGTAAATTTTCTTCAACGTAAAAATATATTTACAGCATACAAAACAAAGTGAAAGCTGATATTTAAGAATTTAATCTTTATTATGCTAATCACCTTATTAGAAATAGAAAATCTAAGATTAATAATTTATTTAAATCTCATGTGATGACTTAAAATATATAGGATTTTAAGCAAAATCACTTTATTAGAAATTGTGAATCTTACGTGCACATAATTTAATGTGCAAGTTTTACTCCTCACAAAGTTAGGGGGAAATTTTATAGAAATCGAACGAACCCTGTTAAACAGAGTTACATGTTGCGAGTTCTATTCTCTATGCTATCTTCAACATTATAAAATTTCAACATATTATCACAGTTATCATAAGAATCATCGTTTTTGTACCCCGAATAATATAAACATCTTTTTGGCATTTTTTTTTATATTATCTTTATCTAATGTAAACACTTATTGAGTGTGTCCAAATATCACTTTTATATAACAAAGGACTCTTTTCTATATGTATGCCGAACAATTCTGTATCTAGCAAATGGAGTACAAAGTTATCATTTTGAAAAAACCTATTCTAAATTAGAATTTGTTTAGATAATTTCTTCAATAAATACTAAAAGAATAAAATAAAAAGGTAAAATGAACTCAAAAAGAAAAAGTTGCAGATTAAAATTAATATTTATGTATAAGCCAAAGTCAAATTTTTAAGAAGGTTAAATAAGAATGTTTCTATAAATTAACTTGTATAAACTAATTTTAATTTTAAAAATAATTTAATCTATCTATTATTTTATCTATAAATATTTATTGAGGAGTTATGAAAATGGTTTAGAAGAAGAACTTACCTGTAGCATTAGAACTAGGATTAACTGTTACCACAGTATAAGTTGCCGCAAGCGATACTTTCGTGGTTGTGTAAATTAGCGGTGCCACGTTAGCAGAATCACCGTCACTTCTCGGTAAGCGTGTGCGTGTAATGAAACTGCTCCTGCAATCTGTTTATCAAATTTTATCAGCTTTTTTTTTTACCCTCATATTTTATTAGTTAAACAATCAAATTTAATCCATTCCTATATTTTAAATATAAATCTTTATATTATGAAAAAAAATATTTTAAGATTTAATTTAATTTTTATTCATTATAATTATTTATATTTTAAATTATAATAATTTTAAAAGAAATTATCAATAAAAAATATTATAATATAAATTATTTATCATAAATTTAAAATATAATTTATATATTCAAAATATTTATGCATAATAATTATATATATAATTTATATATTCAAATATAATATTTATATATATATAATTTATTATAAATTTTAATTATATATAATAAATATGTAAATACATTACACAAGTTAAAATATTAGTATAATTAAATTTATGATTAAATATGATTTTATTTCTTGAAATTTTGTCGATTTTCGTATTAGTCGTTAAACAATTTTTCTACTGATGTTATTTTAGAATTTACTGATTTTTACTTTTAGTTTTTTAAAAAAATTGTTCATAGAGAAAATTTTAAGGGATTAAAATCAAATAAAATTTATTTAACAATTAAAAATAAAAATTGATAAAAGTTCATAAAAAAAATATATTTAATTCTTATTTAAATATCTACTTTTGACGGTGAACCCAATGAGATGACACACTAAGATATCTCTTGGAAAAAAATTCCTCATACATAATAAGATTCATTTAAAGGTTAACATTATAATACCTCAAATTTTCTAAAATTATTAAAAAGAATGTTTTAATCAATCAAAGAGGTTTCATGAAAGATTTTACAGACTTTTAATAATTATGAGTGTTTTATTTAATAAAGAAGAATTGTGAAATTATTTTGTTATAGAAAACATTTGGAAAAAAAATGTTTTAATTAATTATGTAATTAAATGTATTTAAAAAAATATGTCTATATATTTGATATATTTAATTATGTTTTTTCTTTAAAAAGAAATAAGGGAATGAATCATTTTATTATAATAAAAAAATGGTTTTAAGCGTAGATGATTTACACTTCTTGTTTTCTTTAGCTTATGTTTTTCTTCTTTATGCTTTGAAAAATTGCTTGAAGATCAAGAAGGAGATCATCTCAAAGATTGATGTTTGTCTATGAGTGCTCATCGAGGTAAGAGTAAGGGGAAGTGAGTAGTTTTATTCTGGAAGCAATTAATATATAAGTTGGATAGTGAAATTGATCCTAATCTCTTATTTGTTATTGTATGTTGTGAGGGAAATTTCAATTTTATCTTATAATCTATGAATTTGCTTTTTGTACTCATCTCATGTGTGTTATATATGATGTTTGAATTCTATGTATAGTTAATTTTGTGTATTTTGAATTGTTTAAGAACCTTTGAATGGTTGTAGTTCCTATAGGAAACTCTTGTTTATAAAACAAAGTAAAGATTGATATTAATTGCATGAATATGTGAAATTGAGATTGAATTTGAGTAATTGATGTAATAAAGTAGTATTGAACTTTAATTGTGATTTTTACCAATTGGTTTGGAGTTTGGGATTTTTTAATTAGTTCATATCATGCGATTTTTGCATAGTCTATAAGTTCTTCACGAACTAGTATTGTGTTGTACATCAAATGGGTCTCACCAGTCGTCATTTGACATTGTTACTATGAGGTTTCATGATATGTGAGACATCAGTCACACAGAGTTCAACTGCAATAGAGAAAGATTTGTCCACTTCATACAATGCAAAAAATGTTGCATCAAGTGTGATAATATCATAATCAAATTTTGTAATCTTCATAAGAATTGTAGTTATGGATGTTAGCTTTTCAATATCGTTAAAATCAGTTAAAAAGAAGGTCTAAGACTCAAGTTATGATTAAATTAATGAACAAAGGTTGGATTGTCATATTTAGGTTGAAATATTGCGGTTTTAGATTTTTAAAAAAATAGTGAATGACAAAATTAACTCTTAAGGTCTACATAAGAGTTGTAGATGATTGTCTTAGCTTTCTAACAAAATTAAGATCAACTTGATAGCATGTATATAGCTCTAGATATCATGTTTGGACCACATGAGGTCATAGAAGATTAAGTTATGAAAATGTAGCTTGTGAGTGATGAAGATGAATGATTTTACCCTTTTAGGTGTTTGATTTTATGAATGATTTGATGTATCTATATCAATGTCTAGCAAAGAGAAGTTATGGAAGACAACAATGGTCAATAAGTTATAATGTGAGTGATTGCTAATTACTTAAGGTGTTTTAGTGATAGTGATATCTAAGGAATTAAGGTGTAATATCAATGCATTGTTAGACTATTTAAGTTATTAATTTAAACGCTTAGTTTGATGTTGATCTCTTAGTAGCTATGGTTGAGGTATTAATATATAATAAGATGATTTCATAACAATTTTATTTGAGGTATTATAGGGTGATGTCGTGGACATAGTGTATTTGAACTATGAGCATGTGACTATTACAAATTAATTGTAATTAATGATTAATGCACGTATTGGTTACTTAATTCAAGGAATAGTATATGTGCTTAGTATACATGAATGTAATTATGAGCTATGTGATTAAATGATGTGAACTAGTATTGGTGTTGGCAAATCAACTTGTGTAGTTCATATAATGGTAAATTGGCAAATCAATGTGTGTAGATCCTATGAGGGTCATATGATAGAAATTGACAAATTGTGGATTGCGTAGTGATAATATGGTATTACATTGAGTCTCGTGTGACATGCATCATATGATTTATATATGTTTGATTAACACCACATGCATATGCAAATCGTACTCCGTGTCCATTGCATTTACTTGTGTGAATATGTATTATGATGTGTGATTCCGTAAATTGGCACTAGTTTAATTGCACCTTGTTGTTATTAATTTACTTATGTGTGTGTGTGTGTCTATATATATATATATATCATATTATTATGTGTCGGGCTATCTGACTTTATTCTATACCGTGAGTTAAAGTGAGATGTTTCTTACTATGTGTTTCTTGTTTTTTTTTGTGAATATTATGGTAAGTGAAATGCATCATGATGTTGATGATGTAGGTGACGAGGCCTAAACCTTGTGTTGGGTTGTGTTTTGATAGAATGTGACATCAAGTTTAGTTAAGATTTTTATTTTATTAGTTTCTTTATATTTAGAACTTTATATTATATTACATTTTGTAATTATTATATTGAACAATTATTTTTAATTCTTTCAGGTAACGTGTTACTATATGATACCTCTATCCAAAGGAATTTGCAAACTTATCTTTAATCAATAAAATTTATTTTTGAACATTTTTTCATCTTCGTTATTCTATACATCTATGTTAATATGTGAAATAGAGAGTTTCACAGACATTTCCTAACAAATATTTTTCATATGTACCAACAAAGGATATTCAAACTCTTGAACACATCTTTAGAGATAAAATTATCAGATAAAATAATTTTTTTAATTTGTATAGTTTCACTTAGTTTACTTTTGAATCCTTATATTTTAAAATAAACATTTTTAGTCTTTATACTTATCTTTTTCAAATCTTTTTAATTTCTGTTGTATAAAATTAAATCTTTTTAGTCTCTATATTTTTATTTTTTAATCATTTTAATCTCTATCATTAATTTTTTTAATAACATTATTTATTGTGTTGATGTGATAGAACTCTACAATTTTGTGAGCACATAAAAATGATGTATGGATATCGTAGGTAAGTGTATAAAAGAAATATAAAGTGCAGAGAAACTAATTTAAAATATCAAAAAAATAAATTTGATATAAGACAGACAAAATTAAATTAATACAAATATCATATCAACATGAAAGAAACAACATTATAAAAGATTAACAAAGACTAAAAAAAAAAAAAATA